TAAATAATTTTTTTAACTTGATTATTTTTACTTATTTTAATTAATTTTATAGAAAAATGTCTATCTTTTTCTTCTAGGCATAATACCACATTTACCCCCTTCAACTTACAAAATTTTAATATATTTGGGTTAAAGAAAATGGAGAGAATCAGAGGAGGGGAGAGGGGTGGGAAAAAAATTTTTATTTAATTTTTTATTATTAAAAAAACTGAGTGAAGGGGAACAAATTTTATTTTCTTTATTTTTTATTTTATTTTAATTGTTTATTCAAATGAAAGAAATGAAAAAAAATAATTTCTCTCTCTTTAACTCCTCTCAACTCAAATATAAAATGAAATTATTAGCTATTTATCTTAAAATTTAAATTTATTAGCCTCTAAATTACATAATACAAGAAAACTTGCCCCAATTTAACGAAATTTTTTTAACGACAAATTCAAAATATTTATTTGTCTATTGCACCCAAGACATGGCTCCAGTAGCATCTCTAGATTATCTCATAAAAAAATTATCAAAAATAATTTAAAAGTTATATAAAAAAATTATCACTATATTACTATTAAAAATTATATTTTAAAATTTGCAAATAAGGGCCCACTAATTAAAAAAATAGCTCCTTTCCTATTATATTTTCCTCTTTTTTAAAAAAAAAAAAATCTTCTGTTCATTTCTTCTTTTCCGTTGTACCATTCCCCAGTTCTCTGCAACTACCACTGAAAGGAAATTATATAAGAAATCCTTCTCAGTGCTAACCTTCAAAGGAAAGGCCAAAACTTCTTCTTTTTTTTTTTTTTTTGTTCAATCATCTCTTGGAAGTTCAATCACATCAGCTCCGTGCAGTTACAAAGACTCCCCTTAATTTTTATTTTAACAAGGGGAAATTTTTTGGAGTAAGAAAAAAATATTATAAGTGTTCCTGTAGATTAAGGTTTTTATTATATATTATCAACCTACTTGGAACTGATGGTGTCTGCTTAATAATTCTTTGCAGTAACCAAATTTTCATAGATTTACATTTAGATGCACTGTTTTACTATCTATATTATTTTAAATTACAAAATTAAATTTTTAAATAAAAAAATCCACAACATTAGGAAGTTTTCTCTCGCTTAAAAGTTAATATATTATAATTTAGAGTCTAGACTATATATATATATATATATATGAGTAATGATCAGTGGGACGAAATTGAGAGACAACAAGTGAAGCAGGTCAAATTGGTAAATTTGTATCCTGCCCAGCTTCACTTGTCGTCGCCCATTTCACCCCCCAATTTTGTCCCGCAGATTACTCTATATATATATATTTGGCATTTTATGAGTGTGGATTGTCCTACTAATTGATTTTCTTTCAAAAACAGAGGCAATATTTTCTGGGACTCACATAACACGTTTGTATTTGTAAGAATAGGTTCGAGGTCTTTAACCTCGGACGTATTGTAACAATTTATTAATAGATGAAGTGAAGTTAAATCCAGCACTTTCGGTCAAGTGATTACACGGTAAATACAATGGGTATGCCCCCACCTGATTTATCGCACAATTCTTCGGTCCCGAATTTACCGTTGTTCCTGAATTTGCCGCCGTTCCCAAATTTACCACCTTAAGGATATGTCACACTCCAATTATCCTGTTAAGTAAGCCACGTGAATATCTCACGAAAACCTATAAATACCCTCCATAGGCCATCTCAAAAAGGTAATTGAAACCAACCTAAAGCTCTTTTTTCATTAGTTCAGAAATAGATCCGATTATTACTGATTTAAGCAGTGGAGTGTCTACCCCAAGAACCCACCTTAAGGCTTTCCAAGTTCATCCAAAGTGAAGACACAAATTGAAAAAAGATCTTTAGTTTGGTACAATTACAGTATTACCCATGAATTAGATGGAGCTGATGCGAAACTAAGCGAGCGCGGCATAACGGCGCACTAACTCGCCCGTGAGTTATCCGTTATATATCCGTTTAGGGTAAATTTTCTTAAAGGTCTAGTTTATAGTTAATATCCTAAAATTTTAAGATGAAAGGGCTAATAACCTTAAATTTTGTGGGTTAAGGTTAAGGGGCTAAATAGGAGATTATGTCTCTTTTATTTTGTTTTCTTTTTGATACACCTACCTTTTTATATTTTAAAAAATATTATAGATAAACATAAACATTATTTTTAAATTTTTAATTAAAAATCAAAAAATAATTATTATTTTAGAATAAGAATAGTATAGTGTATGTCAATATAACTAGCACAATTATTTTCTATTTTACCCTTAATTATTGCATTCTCCTTTTTTAATTAAAAGAAGTTTTATTCTTTTAAT